TATTTCAAATAATTACAAATATGAAAATATTCTTTGACACTAAATTCTCTCTAATTACCGTTTACAGACATTTTTAAAAGTTGACTATGAAAAATACATTTTAAGCATGAAAATATTTCCTTGATTAGTTCCTGTGATAATGAGATATTAGTTGATCTAAAATAAAATATATAGTGTCCTTTATTTAACTTTATTAAAACAAAAAAAAAACAAAAAAAGCATCTACAATACTAAATAAACAGGAAATACATAACGCGCAGTGTTTGTGGTATGCGACAATTTTGTTGAAGATGACCTTACACGAGTCATCAAAATGAAGAAGTGTTTTAAATGTTTGAGGAATATGCATTTACAACTGACAAAAACACCCAACTATTTTGTACCTAACTGAAATTAAATACAAACGAGGCTCATTACTATTGCATTACAGAAATATGTATATCTTGGTTATACATTTTAATCTTAAACCATATCAAATCAAATCAAATCATGTAGGTTATTTTTTATTATTTCAAATGATATTAAATTACTTTTTTTCTCTTCGTTTTTTTTCCCACAGGAAAATAATCTTTTTTGAGTATTATGTTCACAAGCAATATATTGTATATAAAATCATACTTATCATATTAATAATATCATACGTTTCTGCAACATTACTGTTCTACCCATTTGTTTTTCGCGATACTTCAGTGCCATATTTTTAGATTTCCATTTTATTTCTTCTTACAATCTATTAATGTCATCAATGAATTATTTTTCCTATGATTTTCTTTTACACTGTCTTATACAGTATAGACAACCAAAAAGTAATGATTATTGTAATATTACCAATGAAAAAATCTTGAGGAAATATATAACCAACCAGCTCTAAATGATGTAGCTAGTGATTTGAGGTCAATGCCTTCTAATTTTTTTTTATTTTTGGCGATTAATAGCATATGTAATAGAAATTGTCCGTCAGAGTCTACTGGTATACCTATATATTTCTGGAATTAAATGTTTTTGTACTTTTATTTTGAAACTGTAAAAACACATTGTGCAATTGTTTCTCTCAGTATTATACGAACGTAAACGTCTAGCTGCAAAATTAACAAATTTATCAAACTGAACTAATGTCTTTCTTGATTGATTGTGATAGTGTGAGATATTTAATTGTTCGAAACAATAAATGTAATGATACTGGCTCATTTTGATGTTTCACATCTAAGTGCTGTTGTTGTAAAAGAAAAATTCAGGTGTCTATCAGATATGAAAAAAGTGCAATTAATTGTTTCTCATGTTGATTATTTATTGACTCATCATTTGTTAACCCTAAGAGATAAAATTTTCTGATAAAGTTATAGCTATAAAAGGCAAATGCCGTATATCTGCTTAAATATTATATCATTCCAAAATGCCGCTAACTGACTTATACAACTTCTTCTTAATCGGTAGAACTTTACATTTCCTGGTCATGTTAAGCAAGTTATTACCGGCTAAATTTCCACTTTAATACCACTTTTACTTGTCATCCAAAGAATTGTCCAAACGTTTCATCAGTGTCATAGAGCAAAGAGTTTCTCCGATACTTTTCTTGAACATTTTTTTCCGGCTACCATTTGTAAGGAATGGTATGCATTGAAAGTATTAGATCGGGAATTATTGCTAAGCCAGACAGCATAAAGTGTAAGGAATTTATTCATGGATTCCGTTCGACTGTATATTCTGATACAAATTGCTTGGATTTTGTATATATACACAGAAACTATTTCTTAAATTGTATTTTATTATTATAAGGAGTTAATAAAAATGTAGTATGCGTCCTTAATCAGTGAACAATTGTCCGGAAAAAAAAGTAACCATCATTTAAAAATAAATAGCTATTAAGAGAAATTGTATTAAAAATGGTTTCAGCAGATGAATGCTTTATTTAATTTTGTCATTTTTTCTCAACAAAGTATACACGCTATAGCACCTGTGCTTTTTACGCGTTGTTGAATCTAAATATATTTAAATACCATGGCAACATCTCTATAATAATTATTCAGAAAATAATATTTTATAGGCAAAGATTATGCTTTGAAGTTAGATATAAACTCATTCAAACATATTCATGCGCTATATTATGGTAAATACTCAGATAGGTATCTAATATCAGAACATTAACCATATCAAAATCATTATAAACTAATAAATAATACAATTTCAAAGCAAAACGTAAAAAACCAACATAAAAAGAAACGATTTTTTTTTCAATTATGAAAACTAATAGACATGTATTATATACATGAATGATTTGTTGATAGTTCACACCATTTTTATTGTTTATTTACGGCTTATATTGTTTTTCTGACATTCGATTTATGTAGACTTGTATTAAATTTTAAGTCACATCTCAAAATTCAATTTATATGCCGATTAAATATTTTACTTTTTTCATCCTTATAAACTTCAACTTATTTAAACTTGTATTGGTAAATACGTTAATTTATTACATCATATATACATATACGTCAGTTGTTACCGCCTGCATGTCCTCATTTATATCCACATTACTTTTCCATTAGCCATTCGAGCTAACTGTCTGTTATGTGTATCAAAGTTTTACATTAATCTTTATTTGCAGTGAATACTATTCATGCCACAAAGCACATTTGTAAACACTGACATAAATCTCTTCCCATTTACTTTATTGAGACTATTTGAAAGTACAATGTTTTTGTATTTTAGCAATATGTTTCAGTTTTTTTGTACTATTAATTTGTATAGGTGAAACTATTTACCAAAGTCCATATAAATAGAGGATATTGAATGAGTGTATGTTCAATACTGAATTTACCAAATGCATTTGATAAAATAATGTAATACGAGCTTTCTGCAAGTATAATTATTTTATATTATTTTATTTAACGCTTACAATAAATTAAATTAAGAAACGGCGCTTTAAAAATATTACATTCTAGGAACATGTTATTATATACTCAAAAATACAGTTACGCTTAGGTTGAGTGTGTATTTATGTTTGTTTATATAATGAGATAAAACACAAACAAACAATGAATTAACATGAGCGTCACATCAAAATTTAGAGTCGGAAAGAACAATGACACGGGGCACGAAAACGTGATATAAAAGTAAGGCGCATGACCGTTATCGACTAAGCATAATTGACTTTTTTAAGCTTCAAGGGCATAGTTATTTTTTCTTGGAAAGAAAGAAAAACGACTAAAAAAGAAGTTATAAGATAGGAATTGCATGATTACACAACACTACTGATCAATAAATAACTCTTAAAAAGGTTCTACAATTTCAAGCTTCTGCTCAAAAGTAGTATTCAGTAGCAAGTTAATCTTTAAATATACTCATATTGATGCTGTACGATTGGCAGTTATATTCTATATTCTGCTCAATTCAATACAATCCATACTTGTCATTCAAACGTAGTTCAAACATTTATCGCTGTCATGTTTGTAGCAAAATGTTTTCCAATAACGTTCTTGTTCACTCTTCCAGCTTCTGTTTGTAAGGAATGATATGCAATCGAAGAATCACATCGGGATTTAACGCTGGACAGCTCAACGATAGATCCTGGATCATATTTGTTTCCTGGTCTATGTACGAGTTGCTATATTTGGACATCGTACACTCACTTTTATGTAAGTTCTTTGCTATTGTGCCAATGAAAATATTTAAATGATATTAGAAATATTATTTTCTATATAGAAATAGATATGTTAAAGTTATACAGATAGACATATATAACTATTTATATCTATGGAATTTTAATTTACCTTAGACTGCCTTTTGCGTATTTTGCACTTTTGTTAACCTTCAAATCCGTTTACAGGAAAAAATATTCAATATTCTATTCGTACACTCAATGAAGATTCTTTAAAAGACTATTGTTACAATGCCCGTAATTAAAACTTAAAATCTTAAACCAATCATGAAATTGTATCGCTTATAGAATAAAGACGAATAACTATTGATAATAAAGGAAACCTATAGAAGTACCCGCTATTCTTCCTAGTAATTAATGTTAAATTTAGCAGCAAATATATTGAGATGTAATTATAGCAGAAATGTTGGATATTAAATTAAAAGATAACGAAAGATTTGATAGACATTGTCTGGAAAGATTCTTTTGTCTTCTTACTGTAAGTAACTTATGACAAAAATAAACTATTAAAATAATCTACTATTAAAATGAATGAAAACACATAACTATGAAAATAAAATGATACAGATGTTTTACTTGAAGACTAGAAGAAAGACGTGTCACCAATGAGTTAAAAAACTAAGTGCATGTTACTAAAAGTACATTCATTCACATAACAAAAGAGAAACAAATTTGAAAATGTTTCAGCAAAATGTCTTGGCTATGTCCAAATAATTTAGCTTATTTACCCTGGGCATACTAAACCAAATGTACTTGTAAATTATTAATGAACACTATATAAACGGTTATTCCCTCACTCGCTCATTAAAAAACTTTTATAATTATACTTTATTCTCTTAAGATGTTAACGATTTATTTTTTATGAACGTAATAGCAAAAATGTGTCAATAAAAGTGTGGTACCATTATAAATTGCATACATATTTAATTTAATGTATATACATGTATCAACAAAATAATGTCAACAATTTCGTTAAAATGACGATATTATATTTCTATCATTTGTGATGTTCTGAAATTTCATTTCATAAATATGTTAATTCTTTGCAAAATTTATTGATAAAAGGTCAAATATCTATATTAATACATTTTCTTTTTCAAATATTCAATTGTGAAATATTATTTAAACTCTACAAATTAATGGATTTATATTTATATAATTATGTACTTAAACAAATTTCATTGGAGAATAAATATTATATTTCTTTGTGGAATATTATCCTACTTTATATCTTTTTCTAATAAAGCCATTTATTTTAAATATGGTCATTTTAAATATTTTTGTATGATTTTACAAATGTTAATATTATACACTGATTTTAAACCATTCCATTCTTATATTCCTTACAGATAAATAAACCTTTAACATTATCACAAGAGAAAAGGAAATTTGATTGAACTGACACTAAATGATGAGACGACATGCACAGAACCAATCACCGACAAGTGCTTTTAGAACCCATTACAGAATCAAAGGTAAAAATAATTAAGTTTTACACTGCACGTTGACTCAAGAAAAAGAACAAAAATAATTTTCTGAAACAATTGCAGAACATTATCAATACTTTTATCAAGACTAAATTTTATCATTACATAATTTAAGACACAGGAATTTATATATCATTATTTGTTTCTGAACTTAAAATTTTAGTAAGGACAACATTTTGTAATAGTATCTTTATTTGTACAATTTTATTTTATGATTTTGAAAGTCATTTTGCAATTGGAATGCTATGTTTTACGGTCTTTTCAAAGTATATCATGAAACAAAGTTTATAATTGTATTTTCAACCTATATGGTTTCTTTGTACAAATGCAGGGACAACAATAAATGGCATAAATACAAACATTAATTTGTTTTTTCTTTGCCATAATAAAATGTAACAATACAAACATATTTCAGCAAAGTCCTGTCAAACACTCGTGTTGTGTTTCTCTTCGGCGCGATGTTCACTGGAAAAGCCTTATTCTCACATTGCTCATTCTTGGGTGCCTCGGAGCTATAGCATGGTGCCGCCTTGCAATTATAACTACAGTTGTTGTTTATTATGAGAGACATTCTGCACATAAAGATGTTAATAAAAGTAGTCCTTGCGCTGATGGATATATTTATATTCCAATAGCATTTGTGATACTTTTGTATTTAGTTTATTTAGTTGAGTGTTGGCATTGCCATACACGAATTGAATTAAAACATAAAGTTGATGTACAAACAGTGTATCATAAAATGCGTCAAATGCGGGAAGCTTTGCCAATTATATGGTGGAAAGCATTGTGTTTTCATTACGTAAGAAGAACAAGACAAGTAACTAGATACCGCAATGGGGATGCCTTTACTTCTACTCAGGTATATTATGAACGAGTGAATTCGCATACAGCAGGGTGTGCTTTTAATTTCACTAACTGTGGCTTTAAAGATAATACTAAATGTGTTATTGGTTTAGAAGACTATCCGGCAACTAAAATAAGATTCTCAAAAAGTTATTCATTTATTCATGCGGATGCAAAATATGAATTTGATGAGCAAAGAAACCAATTTTTCACAGCAAATGAAAGACGCGATGACTACATGGAAACACGCGAGGGAATGGATCTGCTAAATGTTAATTTCAAGGAATACATGATGGCATTTAAAGACCCAGACAATTTGCCTTGGTATGTTTCCAATTGCGTTTTCTGGATTGCATCATTTTTCCTGTTATCCTGGCCACTTCGGGTGATTATTGAATTTAAAACAGCATATATTCATTACCACGTAAATAAAATATTCGGAACGAATTATGTTAATACGGAGCAAGCGTCCGGTAGAACTATTATGAGACATAATACGATAGGAAGTGCAGAACTTGAGATGATTGTTCGTAATAATTTTACCATTGTGCCAAGTTATTCAGAAGCACTCTTGATGAATGTAGACACAACACAATCAGGTCAAGTTCGTGACGCAAATGCAAATGTAACATCTCCAATCTTTGGACCAACTAGAAGCATTACCTGGAACACTTTAGCTAATAGTGCTTCAAGCAGCGGGTATATCACAGGTTTCTTTTCAAGTGCTGCCATTCCAAATATCATTCATTCATCAACACTACCTAACATCGAAAATGTAGATATTCTGTCACCTGTATCTAGCGATAGAACATTTCGGACATCTTTAAGAAATATGCTGCGGTCGCCTTGGTCGCGAAGAAGACATAAGAATGAAATACAACAATGCAGTAGACGTAGCAATACAATGTTTATGCTCTCTAGTCCGGAATCACTTGATGGCTATTCAGTTGAATTAGATCAGCGCCTGCAGTCTGTTCATTTAACAAGAAATTACTCCTCATGCTCGGATGTAAACGAAGACCGTTTGAAAAAAGACTCTTTTTCGAATAATGATTGCATACCCGGTACTATTACAAATGTTAATGACTGTACAAATATGACGAACAGTGTAGCTAGTAAAGTTATCCCAACAAATGTGCAAACAAAAGATATATCAAATAATGGTAGTGTAAACGGCATCCGTCCCAAACCACCGAGACCTTGTTCATTCAATATGCATGGAAACGAGTTCGCAACATGCAGCAGTACAACACCATCTGAGACAAATCGGGCATATGTTAAAAGTAACCTACCTAAAGTACCAATTAGTAATATCTTAACTGAAAATTCAACATATGACATTGTAGCTCCAACGCCTTCATCCCCTCCTCCTTACGAACAAGCTTTAAAAATGCAAAAACACAATCCACAAGAAGCTGAAGGAACTCAGTTGGGAACACAAGATTTATCAAACGAGAATCGGTCACAATATAATGTTATCATGGAAACATCATTATAAGATACATTAGTCATGCATGTTGTTCCTATCAATAAACACTACAAAAGTGATTTATGTATACTACTGTTTTGCTTCTCTGCAATACATAATACATATCGCGCTTTAAGAAATGTCTTCCGCAAAGTTCTTCTACAACTGCTAACATCTTAGTTTATTCATATATCTTAATAAAATAATTTTCTAATTAGTATGACATTGCAATGCACGGTTATAAAAGCTACTTGCATTTTGTTATATGTTCACAATTATTATGAAATCACATAGAAAATGGATAATGAATGTATATGTTAATAGATAGCTATCTGTTACACTATCTGTTTTGTTGAATAACATCATATTTAGCAGACTGAAGATGTTGAACAAAACACCAGTATAATGTTAATGACAAATGGAATCATTTAACAAGAACTTGATTTTAAAAATGATTAAAATGTAAAAAACATAATTATACAAATATTCTAAAAGTCCGAACAAAATTACAAGAAAATATCTTCTGTTCAGTATTGCTTTTAGATGCATTGTATTTTTGATATTTTTGTACTCTTTCGCACATTAAATAATGCCATATATGTATTCATTGTCTTTTGCATTTTTGACATGAAACTTCCTTTATTTTGATACCTTCAATCACAGATAGTCAAGAATGTTATTCTTCATTGGAAAACGCTATCTATGTCCCACGAAAAAAGTTGACATTTTTAGTTATTGATACGTAGTCAACAAAGTCAATACAATATAATTTACGAATGAACTGATAACAAAATAATTTGCATTACGTTACAATAATTAAATTCCAAAATAAATACATCAATGCAAAAATAATCATTAGATTTGTTCTTTTTTATGTAAGGCGTACTTCATTTAAATAGACAAGCTTTTTGGTTTAATTTTAATTCCAAAAAACAGGTCTACTCTAAACGTAATTTAAAAGTTTTGTTTCATACTTTTCTTTTTCCTTTAAAAAGCAAACATCTTTGAAAATTATAGATTTAATTGGTCAAACCCAGAAGAGTTATTTGATATATGGAATGGTGCTTTATATGAGAGAATGGTATTTAATAGCATAATATTTGAGATAATTAAAATTTATGCCTTCGTTGAAATGTCAGGGAAAAACACAGTTACAAAAAAACAACATAATGTAGGAAAACCAAAGAGATGGAAATAATGTGAAAACTGTTAAATAGTCCTGTTCACATCAAACATAAAAAAACGCTATGTAGCAATTTTAGAAATAATTAATAAGTAAGTTAATGAAAGAAACAACTTGAAGTAAGTTATTAATTTGTTAGATATTATAATACTGCACGTTTGTAACGTCGCTTTTCATTGGATAATCGTGACGTTTATATAGTTTTATATACACGGCTGCTGTCGATTTAAGAAGAAATCTTACTTTTCTCACTAACAAATGATGCGTGCTGTATTATAAATTCGTTGTAAAGATTGTTGACAGGTTATATGGCCGTATATAAACGGCTATTTGCAATATAACCCTCGCCTAGCGGCTCGGGTTATATTTACAAATAGGCGTTTATATAGGGCCATATAACTTGTCAACAATCTTTATAACTAATAATATATTACTATATTCCACACATTAAATGGCCCTGCAACATGGATGTTCAAATGAAAAAAATGTACATGTTTTCTTTCAACTTACTAAACAAAGAAAGTTCTATTTTATAAGATGTTTCAAATGATCAAGCTATAACGTTAATTATAAGTTAAATGAAAATATTTCTTGTATGTTTGAGTTTCATTAACATCACAGAAATGTTTAGAGAAGAGTGGGATCAATAAAATTAATCAGAATTGGCAGCAAGTTACTTCCAATGTCCGAAAGTGCCAAACGATGTGTAAAGTCTGAAGTAAGGAAACAAATGAGATGATAACAGCATGATATATGGACATAAAAGTGTTTCATGTTTCTGTTTCTTTGCAACAACAGTATTATAAATATTCGAAATATGATGCAATCATTTTGCAGGCCCTTGTCATTCTGTCTATATTGTAAAACTATGTTTTGTTTTTTGTAAGAACGCTTGTAAACACTTTGGTATATTGCCCAAAATATAGATGTCAGACGTTTGTTACTGCAGAACTTATTTACAAAATTGGCAATTCTTTACTATCAAAGGCGTGTTATTTATCGCAGCCGTCTGCTAGTCTGACATATTGTATTGGAAATGAATATTTATCTGCGTAATTGTAATAATCAAATAAAACCTCTGTTGATATTTGCTATTCAAAGCGGATTAAAACATCAGGGTTTTGGTACTCGAACCATTGTTTTTAGCTATGTTTAAAAGAACGGCAAACAATTAACTAACTCAAAGGTAGTATACTATTAATTTATCAATTTGCTGACGAGACATATGGGGAGGATGTAGCCTGATTAATATGACCCGTGGTGCGAGCAACTTGTCTAACATATTAACAATGATGAAAATTTCCATTGACGGTATGCACCCTTTTACGTGCATGAACATCTGAACAAGCACGAGGACGCCTTTAAAGACCGAGTGCGCAGAGTAAAATATTAAAGGGCTTCTGCAGATGGTAACGTACGACAAAAATGTGCAAAGCATTGCGCTATTCTTGAAGAAATATATATATGTCTGATTATGTTATTCCACGTTTCGTTATTTGGTATAATTTTTATTTGTATAAAGAAATAGGTTTGTGTTGGGTTATTTGGCATTTATGTTTTGATAACGTGACTCATAATTGCAGTCCTGTGCAAAAACGACTCGTTATCGCGATTTCTTGTTATTCACCGTTTATGTCAATTTGTGTGTACACGTTTCTTTCAAGATTAAAGAAAATAAAATAATGCAACTGTAAAAACAAAAACATTTTCGATTGTTTTTTCCCATGAGGTGCACCTTGTTATTCGTGTAATTCCGTTCTTCGGGGTACAGTGCAATTAATATCTTTTATCAAAAATAGTTGAATAAAATAATGACATATAACGAACATTCGTTGATCCCTTACATTATTATACTTTTTAGTAATTAATTATTGATATTTTGAAAATACAAGAATAGTACACAAAATAAACTAGCTTTAGACACAATTCTTAAAACAAGTCGCGTCTTATTCGTCGTTTGGAAATTTAATCTAATCGATTTGGTTGATAACTTGAAAAGAATTATATTTTAAATATTCCTTGAAACTATATTACATTGTAAACAAAGGGCATTTTCGAAATTCGATAGGCTAGCCAAGCTATTAGGCTTGCAAGAAATGTCAAGAATATTCTTATCAATCGCTAAATGCGTTTTCTCAGAAAACTGTTGGGGTTTTGCTTGATAATTATTTTCTTTATCTGTGACATAATTGTACAAGTAAAAAATGGCAATGGTACATGTATTAATGAAGAAAATAGTTATTTCATCACACTATGGTGGCTGATTCAGGCCATGTGGTACATCCGCTTTTGCGCCACGAAAATGTGGTCATACGAAGTTGTGGCAAAGTCAATTACTTTGACAAGACGTTTATTGTAAAAACTTTTTAAAACGGAATTGCAACTCAAACGACACATGCCTAAGTCATGCTTGACTATGGAAAGCCATGGCTGTCTGATATAATTGTTCATTTTCAGTTTATGTAACCATTTGGATAATATATGAGTTCACTTCGACTATATATGAATTGAAAACACCTTCTTATTTAACCGGAATCCATTGTATTAATCCACAGTTACAATATATGAAACCATACCGTCAGTGTATGAAACCGAGTTAGCAATATATAAGTTGATTTTCTCAATATATGATTCCAATTCTTCAATATATGGTACCAAAGTAGCCATGTATGGAACCAGATGTCCTTATATGAAACCGAATTATCAATATATTAATTCATTTTTCAATATATGAAACCAATGTATCAATTTATGAAACCAAAGTAGCAATATATAAGTTGGTTATTACATTATATGATACCAATTCTTCAATATATGGTACCAAAGTAGCCATATATGGAACCAGATGTCCTGATATAAAACCGAATTATCAATATATTAGTTCATTTTTACAATATATGAAACCCATTTATCAATGTATGGAACCAAAGTAGCAATATATGAGTTGGTTATTACATTATATGATACCAATTCTTCAATATATGGTACCAAAATAGCCATATATGACTTGATTATCACTTTATATGATACCAGTTCTTCAATATATGGTACCAAAGAAGCCATATATTGAACCAGATGCCCTTATATGAAACCGAATTATCAATATATTAAGTCATTTTTACAATATATGAAACCATTTTATTAATGTATGGAACCAAAGTAGCAGCTAGTATATAAGTTGATGTTACATTCTATGATAGCAATTTTCATTATATGGAACCAAAATAGCCTATTTTCAAGTCAACAATTTAAAGGCCGAGGTCACTGGGTTCTGCTATTACAATGCATACACTTTTTCATGAAATCAATTATTATTTGACTGAATATTAAACTTTGTGAGTAGATTAACCTTGATGTGTCCTACTGGCCATGCCTATTTTTGATCAAAGGTAAAGGTCGAGATGAACTTATTTTTTAAATATGTTTTTGTTAATGGTCAGTACGACTCAATAGCTTAAATTATGACATACAACTCGTACATATATAACGATAAGTTTTGCCTGCCCAGCCCATTTTAAGTGAATATGACGTTAAATTCAAATATTTCCTTATTCTAGAAAACGAAACTGTAATACCGGTGCAAGGATAGAATACAGCCTTTAAAAAAAGTCCCGTCAATATAATGACATTTTGGTTCAATATATTGCTACTTTGGTATCATATATTGAAGAACTGGTATCATATAATGTGAAAATCAACTCATATATTGCTACTTCGGTTACATATATTGATAAACTGGTTTCATATATTGTAAAATTGATTTAATATATTAATAATTCGGTTTCATATAAGGGCATCTGGTTCCATACATGACTTACTTGGATCCATATATTGAAGATCTGGTATCATATAATGTGAAAATCAACTCATATATTGCTACTTCGGTTACAAATATTGATAAACTGGTTTCATTAATTGTAAAAATGAATTAATATATTGATAATTTGGTTTCATATAAGGACACCTGGTTCCATACATTGTTACTTTGGTTCCATATATTGAATAATTGGTATCATATATTAACATAACCAAATCATATAGTCCAAGAGATGGCGGGGTTTTATTGCAATTTACCGTATCACCAAAAGAAACATTGCCATTATGAAGCATATTGTTTGTAGTTTCTAAAAACCCATTTCTTAAGTTACGCAGCCCGGGCAAAGGTACAAAAATCCAAGATGGCCGCCAATATGGCCGCCAGAAATTACAAAATACCATATAATTTTTGTTTCTTGATTTTTTACATACGGATTTTGTTCAAAGTAGTTTCAATTGCACTATATCAGATAAAAAATATGGCTAATTTATGTTCAATCATGCAAAAATGACAATTATATTGCAAACTTTTAAATTATCACTATCAATTTACCAAAAAGTGGTAAAAAATAGCATTTTTTGACAATATGATGACTTTCGTTTTTCCGTATTTACACAATATAAACAAAAATGCATTTAAAGTGTGTGTACTTTATCAATTTAAAATAGTTAGACAAGTTAAGCATAAAAAATCATTTCTGGGCATTTATGCCGTAAGAGTTAGAATCTTCAAAAGTTGGTGGGGCTAAAATTATAAAAAAAAAAAAAATGA